TTGTTTTGAATGGTCGTCTAAACTAGTAAACAAATTTGCAAAATCAAACACTTCCGATTTTTCCTGTAATTCTGTAACTTGTTCTTTAAACTGTAGCCAGTTTTCTGCACTCTGTAAATTTTCTCGTTTCATAAACTGTAACAATGACCGTAAGGGAATTTCCGACTTTTTTTTCGTAAGTAATACACTTGCCGGATCAGTGTTCACTTCTAAGCGTTTGACTTATTACAGTGTGGACACTCGCGTTTGGTTACAACTGAAGTACGACAACCGTAGCAAAATCGTCGTCTCAGTTCTGGAGATAACATGTGATGTAGTCCGACCTTTTCGCAATTCCAACACCGAAATTCAGTATTAAGCTCCTTTTTTGTAATTGTTGCTGTATGTGGCGCGGTTTTTGAATTGTCTGTAACTTTGGGTTTATTTGAGGTATTTGGGGCTTTCGGACGATTTTCGGACACTGGTGATTTATAATTACTTGACCGATTATTTTGTTGTCTTATTAATAATGCGTCTAATAAATCTGTAGGCAAATCACTGTAACTATCTGAAATATTTTCCGTTTGCATAGAATTATCACTCATGGCATGTAATTGATCTGGTTTCATTAGAGGTCGCAACGGTCGCGATGTTTGAGTTGTTGTTTTACGGAGCCCTGTGTAAGCATATGCTGGGCACATGGAATATTCAGGTAGTGGGGGTGGACGGTATTGAATCACGCTGTTTAACACTTTTTCTTGTCGAGATGCATAATTTTCTAGTCCGTCCATAGAGAGTTCTCTATGTAAGGGAATCACTAATTTAAAGGTTGGTAACATGTTTCGATGAGCATATCGAACGCATTCGTATTGTGACCAACTTAGGTCAGTGAGGGCAAATAAACTATTCATGCAAGTGAGATAATCACTGACGGGTTCGTTATTAGCTTGCGTGCGATTAGCGATCTCTTCGAGCAAAGCTAATTGATAATCTGGATCTGCATATCTCGAACGCAAGGCAATTTTAACGTCTTGCCAACATCTGAAATAATTAACACGCCCTCTATACCATGTTAAAGCAGCATCATTTAATGTAAAAGGTATAACTTTTAATAAATCATTTTCACGTATGACCAATAATGTACCACTAAATTGTAAATTCCATCGTTGCACTGTTTGTAATAACGCGTGAGGACTTAAAAGTGTTTGTAAGGCTGTTCTTGCATCCGCGTCCGCGTATCTACCTGATTGATAGTTATTTCGCGCGTTATAATTAGTTGATTGATTATAACGATTGCGCATACCGGATTGATAATCTTCCAGATTTGGTAAGATAACGCGACGATTATTATCTTGTGGATCTTTTTGATCGTTAAACTCATAATTACCGCGACAATGATTAACATTTAGGTGTCGATAGGACTCGAAATCAGCATTTGACCGCGGGCGACTATTATTATTATTATTGTAATGTAACGGATTTTTTTTTATCGCTCCTGTATTTTGGTGCTGTAGCTCGCCTGAACTTTCTGTAACTTGAGTCTATTTGTATATCACTTGTACACTGCTGCGGTTAGGCGAAGATCCGCACAAAGGAGAGACGCGCAAGGATAGAGAACGCGCTATATGTACGAGCGAGAGGCTAATACGCCCGCGTGAGGGGTATATTCCGATGACAAAAGGAGAATATACTATAATGTATTACGCACACTAATACACTGTAACTATCTATGCGAGTCTACAACCGACGAGTATTACTCACATATACAAATTAGAGACACATGGCGAGAAAAATTTAAAAATGATATTATTAATTACACTTTAAATAACACCACAGAATTGAACAATCCTCTTAGCAGCACACACAATCAAGGAAATTAAAATTTTCACCAAAAAGTAAAAAAAAAACTGTAACCACCATTGCACAGGTTCTGTAGCCAAAAGAACAAAAAAAATTTTACACAAAAAAAATAAAGCACAATAAAGGCACTGACAATGAGTTAATCAAAGTTTAAATTAATTGAACGAGAGTATTTGCTGAACACTGATGAGGGTTAAACCGATTCAAAAGAAATCCAGGAAACAAGTCTGTGGTTGAAAGGCATAACAGCACAACTGCATTTGTCACGATTTTGAGAAAAATGAGTTTTAATATTCATTTAGCTCTGTCAAATCAGAAAATCAACGGATGTGTTTGGTATTCGGCATTTAGTCTTATTATTTAATGTATTTTTAAAATACGTTTATCGCATTTAATGAAACGCACGAATTCATATGAAATTTAATATATTCTTAGACAAATTAAAGTTTTTTTGCAGTTATGTGTTTTGCTGTTCAAGTTTAAATATATAACCAACTTCACTCTATTTTTCATGTCATAATAAATTGTCAAAATGGATTTAACAGGCGACGTACGAATCTGAGTCTGAAACAAATATATCTGAAGGAGATGATTATAATGAAGGTAAAAAGAATAAAATTATTATTTATCATTATTTATTTATAAAATTATTATTTCTGTTTATTGTATCTGTGAAAAAAATCAAACGAATATTTTTTAAAAATAGGTTATAAAATTCGTTAGGTTTTATCTTTACATTTCCTGCAAAACTTACCTTCTCACATAAAACATGCAATTTTTTACTCAGATACGTGCGGTGGACAAAATAAAAATAAAATCGTATCAGCAATGTTCTCGTCTTATGTGGCTAAACACCCCACATTGGAAATTGTGGATCACAAATTTCTTGTTTCTGGACACACACACATGGAATGCGATACCGATCATGCATTGATAGAAAGAACCAAGAAGAAGCTTTTCAACAAAATTGAAGTTCCAGAAAATTGGTATGACTTAGTTCGAAACATAAGATCGAAGAAACCATTTCACGTCACAGAAATGTCGAACGAAAATTTCTACGATTTTGAAAAACTGTTGAAAGGACCTCTTGTTATGCGGCACAAAAATGAAGAGAAGGAACCCTTTCTAATGACTAATGTTAAATGGCTCAGGTACACGAAATCTCAAGGTTTAGTTTCTTACAAGACCAGTTTATCTGAAGATGAGGAATTCCAAGTACTGAATTTGTGAAGAAGAGGAATATCGAATTTTGATCTCAACCAGAAGCTAGAATTGTGTTACACGGGTGATCTTTTAATAACAAAAGAGAAGAAGGCTGACCTCATATCTATTCTTCATCTTCTTAGTCCATCAGCAAAAGTATTCTACGAAAATTTATTAGCAGAAGAAAATCCGAGTCTGATTAATTTAGATCCAGATATTGATCGAACAATGGAAATCGATTTAGATGCGAAAAATATTGAAGATGAGAAAGCTGAGGAAAATATTGACCAGAGTACGAAAAAGAAAAAAAGCCAAAGGAAGGGCAAATCGAAAGTTAATGCAAGAATTCCAAATCTCGAAGAAGAGAATGTCGATGAAGATTTTAGTCCGACTACAGGAAAGAAAAAGTGTCTGAGAAAGAAGAAGTCAGCCACCAATGCAGAAACCAAAATTGTCAATCACGCAGTAGAGAAAAAAGGACGCCAAAGAAAAAGAAAATCAACAGTAGAAATCGAAAATATTGAAAAAGAGAATGTCGACGAAAATGTTAATCACACTACTGGGAAGAAAAGGTGTTTAAGAAACAAAAAGTTAGCGTCTAATGCAAAAATGGAAATTGAAAATGATAAACACACTGCAGAGGAGAAAAGTCGTCAAAGAAAGAGAAAATCAATCGATAACGCACAAAAGAAAAACGCTAAAAAAATAAAAAATTTGAATATTGAATTTTTAATTCAATAGAAAAATTCTAATTATCAAATTATTAAAGTTATTATTTATTGATTATTTATTGAAATTATTTATTGATAAATTGATTTTACTTATTTTATTGATACGAAAGAAAGTATATTACATTTTTTCAATGTTATAATTTTTATTATTAAATATATTTTTTAATATTTATATTTACATATTTATTTATATTTATATTTGAATTCTCAAAGCAGACAAATAACCCCAAAATATAACTGAAATCTAGTAAGTATAAATTAAATCAAAAATTTAAACAAAAATAAACAAATTTTTAATGAAAAATTTTATTTTTTCTGAAATTCCTTATTATAGGATAAAAATAAATAATAAATAAATAAATAATATTTTTATTTTAAAATATTACTTTAATTTTGTAGATTACGTCAATTGTTTTTTTATTTTGAATGCAGTTATGCGCTTATGCCTATCGCCTATTGCCAAAAGTGCAGTTATGCGATTAGGTTTTTCATCTACTTACTGTTAAACTTGATTTTTAAATTTTATTATAATAAACGACAAATAATTCTGATTATCAAAATTACTAAACTTGGACGAAATTGGATTCAAACTTTAATGCAAAGTGACTCGATTCTGAAACTTAATTTATGTTACTTTAAATCTTAGAAAAATCAGATAACAAAATAAGCAAAACGTTACGTTGCGACTTAACCTTTTATTCTTATGGACGATCCCCGGTATGGAAGGGCGCAAGACAACTTTTGTATCGCCGGTATTGTCAACCGGACTAAATTATAATCCAAATCTCAAATAAACAAATCTCAAACTTATAACTAATAAAATATTAATTAAGATCGACCAATAAGAATTATTAGTGTCCTGACGCGGTGAAAGGGACCTAATGGTACAATAGCAAATTGTACTTTTGAATGTTCATAATAAAAAATGAATTGAACAAAATAATTTCTAGTTTTTGGAAATGAAAGAGGAACTCAAATAATTTGATTTCAAAAAATTAGAAATTATTTTGTTCAATTCATTTTTTATTATGAACATTTAAAGTACAATTTGCAATTGGACCATAAGGTCCCTTTCACCGCGTCAGGGCACAATTTTAATTAAGTCTTCTGCACGTGCCGGTGCTAGTCAGTTATGCAGGTCGTGGAGAGAGGGATGGTTTCTTTTAATAATTAGAGAGATCATGGTAACAATAAATAATTCGTAAACAATAAATGAAATATTATATATACGGTAAACATTAAATCGTTATTTATATTGAAACTCAAAAATACAAGAATTCAAAAGTTTAGTTGCGATTGGTGCAATTGTGACGTCTATCACAAAAAATAACGTCACAATATATATATATATATATATAAATGTTTAAATAATCGTGAACGGAACCCTAGGTAAGCTAGTGTAACTCGCACTTGACCAATTTTTTGTTATTATTTTCTAAACTATTCGTTTTACAAACAAATCTTAAAGGAAAAAAAGATGCGTCTCATTATTTCCTACGAGGTTGGAGATTTCAAAAGTCGAAATTTCGATTTTCAATTTTTTTAATAAGTTTGACCGTTTGATTAGCTTTACAGAGTCCAGCCGAGCGTACGCCCCCTTATTGTTTCCAGCGATTCAATTTTGTTTCAACTTTGATTTCATGCAAATTTTTACATGTATTTAAATATGGAAATCACACCAAATCCTGTTAGAAATTCCGGAATCTAATATAGGTTTCCATGTGGAATTTGCTTCCGCGTGATTCGAAACTACCTACCTAACCAAGACATGTAACGCATTTTGTCTTAAGAACTAACCGCCGCGGCTATCGAGAGCCACGCGAACAAATAAGTTAATTCCACTGATCAACACTGACCAAGCTACGAACTGCGCATGTTAGGAATTGTAGAAAAAGTCTACGATTCTTTCGTTGACTGCTGTCTTAACTACTCTCTTTTGTGTTTCAAACTTTCGAACCTCAATTATTACAATGTTGTAAAACTTTTTATAGAAATTTGACAATCTTTAAACAATATTGTTAAAAACTGTTCAATATAGATTAACAAACTGCTCTTTCTATACAGTTTGTAAATAATTTCTTGACTCTGTTTCACTTTTTCGGTAAAGTTTATGCTTCATTACTAAAAAGTGTAAAAAAGTTTAAAAATTTGTGACCCGTTCAAAAGTGAAATACTAGTTTACGAAACTTTTGCTGACTTATTTTTTCCGTGTATAGTTGCAGAAAGGTTGTGGCAAGTAACATAATGTCCTAATGGTGTAAGCTTATGCAACAAACTTGCTGCAAGATTGTCGCGTAAGCTTGAAAATTCCTAAAACGATGCGTAATTGTATTCTATGCGACCTACTGCTGCGTAGTACATTTTTTTACCTTCCAGCTAGACTGCTCAGCATATATTCAAAAATAAGTCATATCTCGAAAAATAATTAATAAAATTTGACTTAAGGCTGAATCTATTTCAAATCGTGCAGGCCGACTAACTTCAAGTTGTAAACTTAACTGCCATGTTATGTTATTCTGTATGAAAAATAAAGACATGTATTTTTTTATTTTTCGTAAAATTTATTTTTAACAAAGTTATGCGCATTTGAATTTTTAATGACGAAACTCCAAAAAATAACTTTAAACAATTGTTTTGCTTGTAATTTTCCTTCAATTAAAAAATTACAAATAATATTATTGCGACAAGCTTGCAGCAAGCTTACAACAAACTTGCATGTTTTCCGAATGTGCTTACAATGAACTTGCTGCGTAATATTGTAGCAATAAGATATTGTACAACTTGACACAAACTTGCTACAAGCTTATGTGCCTTATTGCATTACTACAGAAAAAACCCTTCATTATTTTTTGAATTTTTGCACCAACAATCTGGAATTTATGGAAATTCTCTATAAGAATACAAAAGCAAATTCGGTGTGTACCAAAGTTGAGATAGTATAAAATAGTTTTTCAAAAGCTTCAAGAAATTTGTTTTTTACATTTAAAAGCCTGTTTTTAACCTATTCAGGTATTGTTTTCGACAATCCATTTCATCGGCTGGTCTCTTATAAGGAAGCCATATTGGTTCTCCAACAAAATAGCGTTTTGCCTTAATAAAGTTCTGAAACAGAAGATATTTAAAAATTATTTTGTGTATTAAATTAATATTCTCCCTAAAATTTCCGTACAAAATCAGGCAAATAAATATAGAATTCAGTAAAGATGTTCAAGAAAGCGTACGCAGTCATGTATTCAATTAATGTATGTATTCAATGAATTAATTAACATCTCAAAAATAACAAAAAAGGACATCTCAATATTTTTTGTAGTGAAAATACACATTTTTAGATTTCAAAATAATAAATAAAAAAAACCGAACTTAAAAAAAATTCGAAAAATGTTTAATTTTCAAAAAACGGGTCAAAATTTGAATTTTTTAAAAAAGTTTTGTACCATTCGAAAGAGCAGGAAAAAACCTTTCGAGAACTTATGGGACACATTTTTCTTCTTTTTTCTGTTTAAAAGTTACAAGTCTTCAGAAATTCCCTGTTTTAATTTTTTAAAAAAATTCAACCCCCTCTCTCTCTTACAGTTTTTGAAAAAACCTAACAATACTTCATGGTTAAAGTACTCACCCCTATTGGCAGGCTTCGCACTCTTCAACTAAAAGCTACTATTTGCTACTTTTTGGCTACTTTTTTCAACCTTAGGCTACTAAAAGCTACTTTTTCACTATTTAGACAACTTTTTGTTACTTTTTTGCTGACTAATGAGTTCAAAACCTGTATATGGTTTTAAGTAATTTTAAATAGCACACAAAAATGGGATCTATAAAGTGCTGAATATCTTGCGGTTACTTTAACCCATTTAAATTTATGAAAAACTGTGAAAAATTGGTATTAAATCAGTTCTTTAAATTTCAAATATGCCTAAATAAATATTAATTAAAAACTTAAAGATTTTAAAATTTTCTAGAAATTAGAAGAAAATAAAAAAACTAGATAAAAATAAATATCAAAATAAAAATAAACTATATAAATAAAAAACTAGAAATTAAGAAAATAGAGTGATTTATCCCCACCACCGAAATATATATAGATAACCGGCTATTTTTCACAGTTTTACATAAATGTTAATGCGCTAGGTTAAAGTAACCGCAAGATATTTAGCACCTTATAGATCTAATTTTTGTGTCATTTTTGTGTGCTGTTTAAACTTACTTACTTTCACAGACCAACTTTGAAAACATATTTTATCTATTATTTTCATTTTTTCACTTAATTAACAAACCCCCAAAAAAAAATTTTGTCCGGCAAAATAGACTAGTCATTCTTACGTATTTTGGGTCACTGAATCCGAATCCGGGGTCAGAATTTAAAAGTTGGTTCTTATTTTTGAGATCAACTCAAAAAACTGCTTAAAAAAGAAAAAAAATCAAAAAGTGAAAAATTTTTGTATGACACTGCGATAGTGTAATTCCATGTATTTTTAGCCACCGATTCCGAATCCAAAGTTATAATTGTTAGATTTGCTGAAATATTTTGAGATAATTGCAAAAAACTCAATAAACAAAAATTCAAAAAAACTCAAAATCAGTTTTTCTGACTTTGTTTTCTGACTTCGAATTCGAATTCAGTGGAAAAAAGTACAATGTACATGGAAATACAATATCGTAGTGTGTCGGCAAAAAATTATCTTTGTCGACAGGAAAAACAAAGTGTTATTTTAACACCAGAATTTGTGTTAAAATAACATGCAACAAATTTAACCCTAAATCTGGGTTATATCTTATGGGTTTTTGCATTGGAGAAAATTACCCGCAACAAAAATAACACCATCTTTTTTCTGTGTCCCTAATTCAGGATTTTTATCAGATTTTTGCGATTATCTCTAAGAACTAAGACGTAACAATGACTACTCTATTTCGCCGGACAAAATTAATTTTTTTTCTGAGGCTGTGTAGTGAATAAAAGATAATAAATTAATTAATTCTAAACAAGAGACAGCAAAATACATTGTACATTTTAAAAGAGTTGTCAATATTTTTAATAATCTTTCTAATTGCTAAAAAAATGAGTTTTCCATATCTTCTCCATTTTAAACTCATATTTTAAGATAAATAATAAAAATTTTGACTTAATTGTTTTTATTTCGTTCTTTAAATATCATCCAGAATCATTTCGGAAAGCATCTATTTTTTTAAAAAATTAGGCCTTAACTACTTTTGATATAAAATATAATGGATTGACCCAAAAATTTGAAATTACCTCTTTTGCCATTTAAATGTTCGAAAATTCTTTACTTTTATGGTATAATTTTAATTTTTTATACCCTAAAAACAAAGTATTATGCAAATTATTATGTAAATTAAGTGTTAAAATTTAATTTTTTAAAATTAAATACAATTTAATATATAAACTACACATATTTTTAATTTTTTCCGCAGGCTACTTTTTTTTACTTTTTTTACTTTTCAGGCTACTTTTTGCTACTATTTTTTTACTGACTAATGAGTGCGAAGCCTGATATATATATATATATATATATATATACGGGCAATGCCCTTTCGTACAAGTGTACTAAAGTATAAAAAAAATATAAGAAAAATGACAGTGCGAAACAATGCTTTGCTATATCTCAAACAATGACAAAAATTCCAGAGCGTAGCTTACATACAAATGTACAGTCGTGCGCATGCATGCCTTCCCTCTGGAAAGGCACTAATTTCAAGTAATTTGCCAACGCTCTATGATGTTTTCATGGCGTAAGGATTAATTTTGCGGAATGTGAAACGGGAACTGTCAATTCTGAAAATTTTTTAAAAGAGGTTGTGTTGTTTTTATTTTGGTTAAATTTTATGAGAAACGTGAAAGTTTAGTGTTAAAAATAATAGTTAATAATAATAATCGTGTTCAGAAAGATGGAAGTCTAAGGGATTTATAAAATTTTTGTTTAAAAAAATTGGTAAGTTCATTTATAAACGTATTAAAAGCACATTGTTTTTGTTCATTTTATCAATTTTATATTTAAAAAGTATAAAAACGGTAATTGATAAGCCATTTAATTGTAGTAGTTTATAAATTAATTACTTCTTTATTAAATTAATACGTAACTGTTTTTAAAAAGTAAAGAAAGTATTTTTAAATTTAATTATGTGGAAAATTTTAAGTGAGGTTATCTAATGAATCTTTTGTAAAAAAAGGTATATTGAAAATTTTAACACTATTTCTTATTTAAAAATAATTAAGTAAAATAATTTAGTTAAAACGAAAAAAAACATATTGTTTAATTAATTTAATTTCGTATTTAATTTTTTGCTTACAATTAATTTTTGCAAAACAAAATTTATATTTATCCCAGCAACAAATCTTTATTTTAATTACAATTTGAATTATCAAGAATAATTATATAATTAATATATATTATAATGTATTAAATATAAATATATTTAATCCCGTTTATGATAGTAAATAAATAAATATTGAGTAAATATAAATAAAATATAATATAAAATGTAATAATAAAATTTAAAAAAAATTTATTAATTAATTTCAAAATAAGTTTCCCAAAAAAATTTATGCCTTTGGTTTCAGTGACATTCTATCTGAATAATATTTGTAGATTTTTTTAATTAGTAATTGTTTCAGAGTGTCTGCAATATCGAACGAAGAGACTGCGTCCAATGAAGAAGAAAATAACGTTGAACGTCCAATAAGGAAAATATTTGAGGAAAACGGTGCCATCAGTGTCAGTAGATTGACAACTAAATCAGTGGATTCTTTGAACGACAAGAGTCCTTCGAGCACAATGACAAAATAATTGTTAAAGAACCTCGATATATTTGTATAGTGATAGTGCCAGTGTCAAGAGTTAAAGTCCTCTGTTCAAGCATCATTTTATTAAATTTATAATTTACAATTTGAAATTTAATCAAATTATTTAATTTTTATTTGATTTATACTTCAATTTATTCATATTTTAATTTTTTTTAATTTTAATTGTCAGGAATTATAATTCTTCTTTATTTTTAATGATAAAAATGATTGAAATTTCAATTAAATTATGCCGAATCTTAAATGTTTGTAATTTAAATTCATTATAAATTAAATCATACCCAAATTCAACCCATTCAAACTTTAATTGATGTAAATTTTAATTAATCCATTTTTCAATCGACTTTATTTTCAATGCATCCAAATTTCAAAAGATTCAGGTTTCAATTATTAATACAACATAAAATTTATCAGAATTTTAATGGATTATTTTTAAAATAATCGTTTTATATCAAATTTGTATTTTATCTTAAAAGCAGAAGAAATACCAACGTAGATAAGAACGACCAGAGTTGACGACCAGAGATGGGCTCTACGAAGAGCCCATCGTTGGAGGAGATTTTTCGTTGACTTGAACGAGATGAAATTTCTTCGATTACTTTTTGCGAATCCAGGATGCACAATTACTTTTTGGGGTGCATAAGCACACTTTATCAAGAATCGTCTTAAGGATGTCTTTTTGTGGATGTATTTCGGGCTTAAAAGATGCCTTTAGTTCGTCTAACTAATCATTTTAATACTCGGGCCAATACCCATCGTTGTTTAAGACACTTCTCAAACGTCTTGGCATTGAGTAAATGCAGTTTGCTACGTGGTTTGGTCTCCCTCTTAATTCCTGCCAAGAACGATGCACGTGATCTGTCAATGCCTGTCAAGTTCTATCTTCACCTGATCGACAGTTTACTATCATGTATCCCCAAATGTTCTCTATCCCGTTTAAATCTGGGGATTTTGGTGGGTGTGGCAGCAGCGTGAATTGCGGGTGTCGTTCATACCACTGCTGAGTCAATTGTGCTCTATGGACAGTGCTTTTGTCTTCAATGACCCTTATTTCTTCTTCATTTGGAAGAAGTCTGGTGACATTTGGTAGAAAATGATTCTGTAGTATATCTACATACATCTGAGCATTCAAACGTACATTTATTTGCACGATTTCGCCTACTCCAGCTGTTGTTATGAAACCCCAAAATCCGCAAGTTATCCTTCCACTATGGTGTTCTTCGACAAAAAAATCGGCATTCAGTCGTTCTCCTTTTGGTCGCCACACCAGGCGGCGTCCATCTTCAGA